CGCCTCTGACGTCGATCGCCAGCGCGCCGCCCGGTCCGGTCGGCCCGCCGGGCCCGCCGGGCCCGCCGGGGAAGACGCGGTTCATCGTGGCCGGCGACGGCGGCGGCGGCGGCGGCGGCGGCGGCGGCGGCGGCGACGACGCGCGCGGTAAGCATCGGCTCTTCGTCGTCCCGGCGTGCCCGCCGTGGCTGCGCGCGTGCAGGAAAGAGGACGAGGACGACGCGTGGGAGGCGTGGAGCGGCGGGGACGGCGGCGGCGGCGAGATGGGGGAGGACGCGAGAGGGGGTTCGCTGGGCTGACCGGGCGCGCTTTATGATACTGTGAAGTTTTCTGATTGGCCGGGAAGAGCCACCTGGCGCGCGCTTTTCCTGTCCGAAGATATCATACTCGCGTCATCACTCGAGCGCGCGCGTCCGTCCGTCCGAACGCGGCCGCGATGTCGGTCTTCGCGGCGTCGGTGACGACGGCGTCCACCGCGCGCGGGCTCGCGCGCGCGAACCCCCGCGCGTCGTCGTCGCGCTCGTCGTCGTCGCTCGCGTCGCTCGATCGAGATCGTCTTCGAACGACGATCCGAACGCGTAATCCGCGTCGGATCGTTCGCGACGTCGGACGCCGCGCGATCGCCGCGCGCGCGGTCGCGACGCCGCCGCGCGAGTCGCCCTCCTCCTCCTCCTCCGATCGTCTCATCGCGCCCGCGGAGTCGCCGTCGCTCGACTGCGGCGCGCGCGTCGCGAGCGTGCCGTACTTCGACGGCGCCGTCAGCGCGCGATGCCTGGTGAACGACGCCGCGAGGGCCGCGATCGAGTCCGCGCGCGCGGGCGACTACGTCGCCCTCCCGCGCGCGGATGACCCCGCGCTGCTGCGCGTGCGCGAGGTCATCCAGGGGAAGAGTTGGACGAAGAACGAGGCGCTCGGGAGCGGGGCCGCGGGGGAGTGGCCGGAACTCTTCGACGCCGGCGCCGCGCTCGTGCGCTCGGCGCTCGGCGATCGCTTCGGCGACGCGGACGCCGTGGAGATCCTCCCCGGGACCGGGTGGCTCGGCGAGGACGACGCGACGGACGCGATCGACTGGGTGATTCGACGACCGGAAGGGCACGTCGTGTCGAGCAAGATTCACTTCGCGACGCGTTTGCATCGCGACCCGGACTCGTGGACGAATCCGAGGACGCCGCAGCGGCCGCGGCCGGGGTGGACGGAGCTGGCGATGCCAGAACGCGAGACGTACGCGTACCGCTTCGTGAACGTGTGGATCGCGCGGAGCGCGATCGACCCGAGCGGGCAAGTCTGGCAGTCGCCGTTGCTCGTGTGTTTACCCCGGGACGGCGGCGAGAGAGAGTGGGGGTTCGTGAAGAGAAAGTTGGAGATGCGTGAAGACGCCGCGGAGAAAGAGTACAACGTCCGCGGGATCAACCCGTTGGATCCGAAGACGTGGATCCCGGGGACGAACCGGCTGCTTCGGCCGCTGTGGCAAGGCAGCGGCGGCGGAGAAGGAGGAAAAGAGGGAGGAGGTAAAGAAGGAGGAGAAGCGTTCACGGAGGAAGAGTTGGAAACGTTTGAGTTCCCAGAGTTGTCGCCGTCGGACGCGCACGCGTTCGTGACGGGCCCCGCGATGGTGTTCGACTCGTTCGACCTGTGGCACGGCGCCGGGACGTGGGACGAGGACGAGGCGGACACGAAAGCGCTGAGAAACACGGACAAGAAAGGGCGGCAGCCGTTTCACCGCGCGCGGTGCTCGATCGAGATGCGTTTCCGCGTGAGAGTGAAAGTGAACGCAAACGGCGAAGCGGAGGGAGGGGGGAAACCCGAGGGAGCCGCGCGCGCCGAATCGGTCTGGGGGCCGTTCGCCTCCGCGGTCGCGTCCGGGAAGTTCCGCGACGACGGGCTGCGCGACAGCGACGCGCGGTACGACCTCCGCGCGGGCAAGATCCTGGACGAGCGATGAAGGTATTAATCGCGGAGCGCGCGCGCGAGTACGAAAGTACTTCTGTATGACATCGCCGCGTCGTCGACCGACGCGACGCCGCGCCTTTCGACGGCGTCGCGTCAGTCGCGTCGCGTCGCGTCGCGTCGCGCTTCAAAAACATCGCGTCGCTTCGCTTTCACTTCTTCTCCGCGTTGGGCCCCACCCGCCTCGTCGCGTCCCGCATCGTGACAAACTCCTCCGCGCTCGACGGATGAATCCCGACGCACGAGTCGAACTGCTTCTTCGTCGCGCCGCACTTCAGCGCGATGCCCAACCCTTGCATGATCTCCGCGGAGTCCGGGCCGACCATGTGGCACCCGATGACCTTGTCCGTGTCCACGTCCACGATGAGCTTCATGAACGCCTTCTCGACTCTCCCGGCGAGGGAAATTTTCATCGGCGTAAACGTCGACGTGTACACGTCGCACGTGTGGCCCGCGGCGATCGCCTGCGCCTCCGTCATCCCCACGGTCGCGACCGGGGGCTGGCAGAACACCGCGCTCGGAATGTTCTCGTAGTCCGGCTTCGTCGGAATCCCGCGCACGACCGTGTCCTTGAACGCCATGCCCTCCATGAGCGCCACCGGGGTGAGGTTCACCCGGTTCGTGACGTCTCCCACCGCGTAGATGGAGTCGACGGTGGTCTTGGAGTACTCGTCGACGACGACCGCGCCCTTCGCGTCGAGCTCGACGCCGATCTCCTTCAGGCCGAGATCCGGGCGGTCCGTGTTCGGGACGCGGCCGGTCGCCCACATCACGCAGTCGGTCTCGATCACGCCCGCGGCGTCCGTCTCCACGGAGAGAGACCCGTCGTCGTTCTTCGATATCTTCAACGGGTTGACGCCGTCGCGGACGACGATCCCGCGGCCCTCGAGGTTGTTCGCGACCGTCTGCCGCACCTCCTCGTCGAACCCTCGCAGCGGGAGGTCCGCGCGGTACATGATCTCCACGTCGGAGCCCAAACCCGCGAAGATGCCCGCGAACTCGACGGCGATGTACCCTCCGCCGATCACGAGGACGCGTTTCGGTTGCTTCTCAAACGCGAGCGCCTCGTCGGAGGTGATCCCGAGGTCCGCGCCGGGGATCGAGGGGTACCACGCCCTGCCGCCGGGGGCGAGGAGGATCGTCTTCGCGCTGTACTTGGTCGCGACGCCGTCGACGGTGGTGACGGTGACCTCGTGCGGGCCGGTGACCTTGCCGACGCCTTCGAATTTGTCCACGCCCGCGTTGTCGAGGATGCGGCCGTAGATGCCGTTCAGCCGCTCGATCTCCGTCGTCTTCGCGGCGATGAGCCGCTCCCAGGAGAACGTCGGCGCGCTCTCGCCGTGGTCCCACCCGAACCCGACGGCGTCGCGGAATTCCGCCTCGAACGCGGCGCCGTACACGAGGAGTTTCTTCGGCACGCATCCGCGAATGACGCACGTGCCGCCCAGTCCGCCGGCGGTCGCGGAGGATATCGCGGCGTACGGCAGCTCCACGAGGCCGACTTTCGCGCCCGCGGTGGAGCTCATGCGCGCGGCGCGGACGCCGCCGGAGCCGCCGCCTGCGATGGCGACGAGATGGGGCGGGGGGGGGGGGGAGCGCGGTCAGGATGGATAGCGGCGGGACGACGCGACGACGTCGACGACGACGACGACGACGACGACGACGACGACGACGACGGCGCGGGCGACGGCGACGGCGACGACGACGGCGACGGCGCGATCGCGCGATCGATCGCGCGCGGGGAATGGGGACGACGACGACGATGCGCGATTGCGCACCGATGGTGAAGACGTCGTAGTCGTACTCCATCGCTTCCGCTCGCGTCGTCGTGGCGAACGCGCGCCTCGCGGCGCGATGGGCCGGGTGCCTAGGGCGAACGACGCCGACGCCGCGGAGGTGCGCGCGCGCCGCGGACGTGAAGATTGGGAACGCGGCCGCGCCGTGGCGACAGACCGAAAGGCTCATTAACCGGACGAGCGGGGCGAGGGATGGCGCGGACGGTGCACGGGGTGAAGCGTGCGCGTCGGCGGTGCGTCGTCGTGTGATGGAAGAAGGGGCGTTCGATCCGACGAGCGAGCGACGAAAAAATAACCGGACCAAAACCCCAACCGAAAACCTTCTCCGGCTCCGGCGGCGGCGGCGCGGCGCGTCCGCCTCGATACCGAGATCAACGTGGACGACGCGATGCGCAGCGCGCGAATAGGACGACATCACGAGCGAGTGCGACGACGAGGGAAGTCGTCGATGATAACGCCAGATATTATTACGTTACGTTACGTCACGCGTCGCGTAGGTTGAGAACGCGAACGCTTCTTCTCACCTACCCCAACACGCGGATGATCTGCATCTCAAACACCAACACGTCGCCGGGCTTGATGAACCGTCCGCTGCCTCGCCCGCCGTACCCGAGCTCCGCGGGGAGATACATCCGCCACTTGTCCCCCTCGCGCATCATCCGCATCGCCTCCGTCCACCCTTTGATGACCTGCATCGGCGCGAAAGTCAGCGGTTTCCCGCGCTTGTACGACGAGTCAAACTCGGTGCCGTCGAGCAACGTCCCGGCGTCTGCGGCGATCGATTCGGTTCGGACGCGCGCGCGCCAGGTGGAGGGTCAGGATTGGTCAGCGCGTGGTACGATTCGAGCAGATGTGTCGACGTGGACACACACGATTGGTCGTCACCGAGCACGGAAGGAGAGAAGGAGACGCGCGTCGAACGAACGCGAGAGGGAAGGGGAGACGCACAGTGACACTCGCACTTCGTGTCGAGCGCGACGCGACCCGCGGGCCCGCTCCCGCTCTCCAACACCTCGTACTGCAGCCCGGACGGCGTCGTCGTGACGCCATCTCTCAGCGCGTTACCCTCGAGCCAGACCCGCCCCTCCGGTTTCGTCCGGTTCGGGCCGTCTTTGAACCGCTTGAGCGTCAGGCGCATCGCGCTCGCGTCCGGGTCCGCGCCGAGAGCCGCCATGACGTCGTCGAAATCTTTCGCGACGACAGAAGAAGCCTCATCAGCGTCCGCCGCGGTCCCGCACGAGAGCAGCACGTCGCCGACGCGCAGGGACCCGTCCTTCGCGGCGTTCCCGCCGTCCACGAGCTCCGCGACGTACGCGCCGACGCCGTCTCTTCCGCTGTTCAGGACGATGCCCATGGGGCGGTCCAGCGCGACGGATATCGTCTCGCTGCCGTCGTTCCACCCCGGATCGCCCGGCGATGAGGCGCGCGCGACGAGGGCGCGTCGCGCGCGGACGGGGAGCGACGTCGCGCGCTCGCCGAGGACGCGGTGGAGAGACGACGCGGGGGAGGCGGCGGGCGCGCGAGCGATCGCGCGGCGCGCGAGCGCGGCCATGACGAGTGGGGAGAGCGCGGGGGAGAGTGACACATCGGAGAGGCACTACGACACGTCGAGGCGCGCTCGAACAGAAACTCGACGCGAGAAGTTCACTCGGACAGGAGTCATTTTTGAAGAGCAATCTGCCCGACCGCGCGCGCGAGATCGCGCGGCGCGAGACGCTCATCCACGACGGGTCGGTTCGCGCGTCCGCGCGTTCGACCCCGGAAGTGCGATGTTCGCGCAGTTCGAGGACGAGGACGATGACTACGACGCCGTGGAAGAGGTCCGTCGCGACGCCGTTCCTCGACGAGATTCATTCATTCATTCCTCTCCTCCCCCGAGAGAACCCTCGCGCGTCGATCGATCCCGTCGTCGCCTCGTCGATCGATCGCGGGCCTCCGCCTCGATCGCCCCCACCCCCCTCCCCCGCCCCATCGTCCGATCCCTCCCGCTCACGCCGCGCTCCTCCTCCTCCTCCCCCTCCTCGCGTCGCGATCGCAGGAGCGACCGACGACGGCGCCTGCCCCGCCGGGCGCGGCGCCGGTGCCGACGATCCCCGCGGCCGACGCCGCGACGTTCGCGGCGGTCCAGCCCGGGGGCGACGGCGACGGCGACGGCGACGGCGACGATTACGACGACTACGACGACGAGGGCGAGGAAGAGGGCGAGGGCGA